GTGTTAGACACTGCTAAGGGATAATACATTTTAATTTAATCCATACAACAATTCCGTATAATCCAGGTACTTTCATCACTTTTCAAATGAGGAAACTCTAAGGCATAGAGAATATTTCCAATTTATTTATATATTTTTCTACTTTATTAAAGTTAGCTTTATTGTCATATATTTCACATATCATACATTTTAATCATTCAGTCATATTAAGAAGAGCTGTACAGTCATCCCCACAGCCAGTTGCAGAACGTTTTCTTCTAGGACTCTTTCTTGTTAGTTCCCATTTCCACCCAACCTCCCCTGCCATGCTCTTAGTTAATTCGTGATCCAATTACTGTCTCTCTAGATGTACCTTTCCTGCATTTCATATACAGAAAATCATACAAAGCACAACCAGGAAGCAAACAGCAACAACAACAACAACAGAACTAACCAACAACGATGACTAGACAAAACAGAAAAAGCAGATGATAATAAAAGCTGAAACAAATTTTAAATGGGTTAAAAGGGAGATAAAATGATAAGGTCTTACATTTTAACCCAACTACATCTCCGCTAATTGACTTTATAATGCTCTCTGTCTGATAGCAAGGCTATTCACATACCTGAACTATGATCAGAGGGGATTCACCAGAGGCTTCATCCATGTGTAGACCCTGCAAATGAATTTAGGGCTTCCACTATCATCCATAGCCTTCTGAAGACTGGGTGTCCCTAATTTAAGGTCTGATACCATTCCCTCCTTCGGATTTGGATCTTATTATTTACAATCTGTGGATCACACAGACTGGTGTGCTTCAGGTATAGAGATTTTAAGTAATTTATCCTAGATCACATAGCTAGTATATTTGGTTTGACCATATTTTGAATCCAAATCTTACTCAAAAATTAGAGACAGTGTCTTGTGCCATGATTTTAATGTTGAACTGAATATTTGAGTTATAATTCTGAATATGAATAGCAGTTAGCAGAAAACATTCAAATAGCATAGTGGACATTTTTAGATGTACATAGCTCTTAAGGTCATGTTAAATTCCACAACGATGTCAGAGTGGAAACAGTCTTTCTTTGTACATGTTCATGGAAGAGTTCTTGGGGACAAGCCACTTGAGATTGAGCCATTGCTTCATCCAAGGTCAAAGAAATTGATTTATGCTTCAGAAAGAAGTACTAGAGTTATTTGATTCTCATATATTTCATGTGTTTGAAGGGAAGCTGAGATAGATTAAAGAATTCCATGGCCTTAACAGTAAGCTGTCAGGAACTGTTGTACATATGAGGGGTTCATGAAAAAATATAGATAGATTTTCCCCTTTAAGCTTTTTAAAGCCCTCTCATACTTTAGAATGCATTATCATTTAAGCCTTTCAACATTTAAGAGGACCCTTAATTAATCCTCTTTTGCTGATAATGAAATTGAATAACAGAGTTAAGTAACTTATTTGCCCAAGATTTCATAGGAAGTGATGTGCCAGAGGACATGGAGTTAGATGGTTGACTGGGAGGGAACTCGTAGTTGAAAACAGAAGCATGCAATTGACAGTTACAGAGTCTTATTTTATTAGCCATTTACTTTTGTTATGTGTTCATGTCTCTTGGAAAGTATCACCTTTCCGTATGAATTACAGTATATAACACAGATCAGCATTTGATACAATGATTACTGGAGCTGTGAGGGTTGACTGTTTCTTTAATTATGAACCTGAGAACATGGATATGGCATTTCTACCCTCCTGGTTTAGGGGGACAGATTTAAAAGCACAATTCCTGGCTTTAGGGGTCCTCGAGGCTAAACTGCATAGTTTATTTCATTAACACCAAAATAATTTCCAAGCAAATAATGAGCATCAACTGATATTAGCTGTGATAGTCTACCTACTTTTTGTCACTTACTTTAAAGGTGCTATGCAGTAAACAAGTCAAGGCCGTGCTTGTAGTGGGGAAAGATAAAGTTCTGAACCAGGAATCAGTACTTTTAGTAGCAGTTCTGCCCCTAGCCGGATCCACATGATTTTGGCAAATCCCTTAGGCTCTCTCGTATGTATATTTAATAATTGAAACTTAGTCAAATGTTTAATTGAGGTATGTGGTACAGTATACACTTGTATTTGTAACTCTACTTCAATAGCTTTGTCTACTAACTATTTGAGAATATCACAGGTGCTTTCTTATACTTTATATATAAGTATTCTAATCCAATAGATGTAAAGCAGACTTTATTTCTAATTTATGTATTATTGGGAATTATTCGTGGCTTAAAAAAAAATCAAAACTAAAACACTAAGCCTAACTCTGCTACTTAATATCTTTGGAACCTTAGCAAACACTTCCCTTCTGTTGCCTGAATTTTCATACCTGGGAGTGGGAGGAATAACAGGATATAGTTATAAAATCCATGTAAGACATTTGTATCAGGACTTGCCTAGCAAGTGTGTAGCTAATGTTTTTGTTATTAATTGGAAATATAAAAAATTCAATTCACAGTCTCAGGATATGATGCTATAAACTTGACTTGGAGAGATGTAATTCTGCCACAGACCAACATCTATGGGCTGATCGTGTTCAGAGTACTGTTAGGCTCATCCACTGGTGCCAGAGTAATGTGATGATGTGACTTTGAGAAGACCAAGTTAAGTGCTTTATGTAAATCCCCCTTTCTCCCCACTATTCTTGGTAATTATTTTTAACACCTGTGGAATGTGTTAAGATCTAGTTCATGTCGTGGCTCAAATAGAAATTATATTTCTATTCACTAAAGCTCTTGGGGTTTGAATTTATAGAAATTTGAATATTGACCTAATATTAAGGGTTACTGGTATTTTGAGTACAACTTAAATGTGGCTTAGAGTAGTTGATTGATTTTTGAATTTCAGAATTTTGAGGAGAGGTTATAGATATTTTTGTCCTTAAAAATCACTTTGGTAAGTGAAACTATTTTATAATCAGGCTCTGTTACTTTTCTAACTAAGGAAGTCCAAGATTGGTTTGATTTTTGATAATTCCAACCTATAAATACGATTGCAGCGTCAGTGTACTTGGTACTGGTATTATTTTGTGATTATATTTATGGTTGTAAAAATATAAGAAATATCACATAAATAAGTTTTTCATTTTTTTGGTGGCATTAAATTAAGTAGTTTCACAAATTGGCAATAACTATAACATGACAAAAATGTCAGTTTAAGAGCTTTTTCTTACTATTTTAACCAAAAAAGAGAAGTAATTATTATCCGATTAATTGATTTAAATGAGTCCTGGTGGCACAGTGGTTAAAGCACTCAGCTGCAGAAAGGTCCACCAGTTGTTCTGCAGGAGAAAGTTGAGGTAGTCTGCTACACACACACACACACAATTTTAAACACTATTGTGAATTAAGTGAAGGTTTACAGAGAAGATTATACTTTTATATTCAACAGTTCATATACATGCTGAATCAACTCATTCACTGTAATACTCTCAATGTCTTATCCTATTTCCTTTCCATGTTTCTTGTTACTTTTCTTCCTCCTTTCCTGCCTTCTGAACTTTGTTCTTGGGTAAATGCTGTCCATTTGATCTTCAGTGGTTGATTATTCTAACACTGAGATAAGTTTTGTTCCAGACCTGAAGTTAAAGGGCCATAGTCTTGGGTTCCCACCAGTCTTTGTTGACCTGTAAGGCTGGTTTCTTTTAAGTCTTTGAGTTTTGTCCACATTTTCCTCCCACTCCATCCTAGGACCTTCTAATGTGATCCTTTCAGCCTGGTTGATAGTGGTAACCGAGCACTGTCTAGTTTGGTCTTAGGCTTGTGGAGACTGAGGTTCCCACCACTCTTCGTTCCTCTGGGCATGACTGATAGTTGCATCTCAGGTGGCTGGGCCATAATGATTTACAGCCTTAGAAAGTATAAGGTAGTCCTGTAGGGTTGCTATGAGTTAGAATCTGCTTGATGGAGATTCTGCAATGGGTTTTGTTTTGTTTTTGGTAATTGATTTAAAATGTATTGCAGAAACATTTGAAAAAACAGCAAAAAGAGTGGAGGGGGGTATATAGCTAGCTTGACATGAAACCAATGACCTTGAGGGACTTAAAAGTGTTTATGTGGTTGTAATAGCACTAAAGATAGAGGGGCTTTGGGCCATGCTTCTTCTGAGCTACTGGGCAAATCACTAAACTTCATTTATTAGTTTTATTCTGTAAAATTATAATAATAAAGGCAATAATGGTAGTAGTGGTCAGTGGCAGAATTCTCACTTTCTATGAATCCCATTTTCACGTATTGTGTACTCAAGTGCAGCCACCATACCTCTGAGAGTGGAGACTTATTCTTTTGCGATAAAGCTGAACACATTCCAGTAGAGCTTCCTGATTAAGAGACTAAGACAGAATAAAGGTCGGATGATCTATATCCCAAAATCAGACAGTGAAAACTGGATCACAATAGCCAGATCCCTTTGTGCATGGATGGGGCTGTTACGAGTTGGAAGCCCATTCATCAAAAGCTAACACCATCACCCGGAGAGAAAGTAGTAGGATTATTAGCTGTAACTTAGAGAAAAAAGGTTGGAAACATTTAGTGTGGTTTGCTTAGGGCCAGAGGTAAACTTTTAACGCTTATTGTTTTAATTCAAAATGATTTTGACTTTTATGATTAGTTGTAAAGTGATATTATTCTGAACATTGTAAAACATCTCTAACTGGTTAATTGTGAAATACCTGAAAAGTAATTTTAAGTATGTATTACTTTAAAAAATAGAAAATTGAAAAATTATAGGAATAATACACTTTTAAAATACTTTGTCATTTAAAAAGGGTTCCAGTTTGATTTTCACGTTTAAATATTTCTTGGCTCTGAAGGAAGGGTTTAAAAATAGTAGACTCCACCCCAATGTTTGAAAAAAATTCCGTGTAAATAGAAAACAAATAGTTTTCATTATTTTTAGGCAGGATTGCAATATCTTAATTTTTATATGAATATGCTGTGTTTTTTAACTTAAAATTTTAAAATACTTTATTTCTAGCTGAGAGTCCTTTGGACAGTTAATGGTGTTTATCACTGTGCCCCATTTCTACAAATCAATGATGGGTGGATTATTTTCTCGATGGAGGGTAAGTAACTTTCCTTTATAGCGAATCCTTAAATCTGACATAAAAGTGTCATGTAAAGCTGTTTGCAGAAGTCTCCTTCGTGGCATAGATTTAAAGTGGTAGTATAACATTACCTTCAACTCTGCTTTGTTTTTTTAATTCGTTTTTAATTTGGACTTTATTATTTTTTCATTTTATTTTGATTCTGCCTTCTGGGCTTTATTTTTATTTTCTGTTACATAGGTGTCTATTTAGTAGTATTAGCTAATTTATGAATTATTTTTGTTTATGGATGAATGTTTGTTTTTTCTTCTCCTACCACCTTGTATTTGAAACATGGCCGAAACTTAAATATTTTACATAATACTTAAGTTTTTATATGTTATATCTTAGAGCTTGCCACCAATATTTACTGAAGTCAAACATACTTTTAGGAATTAGACATTAGACAAATTTATATCACACATCAAAATTAGAGAAGTTTGATTTTATTGGCTACATTTTTAGTGGAAAATTTTCAGAATTAGAGCCAGAAAATAGAAATTACTAATAAGTTCTCCTTTTTTTCCTGTGGGAAGAGATAATGCAATGTACTTTGCTTATTCCTTGACTCCTTGTCAGCATAAGGATGGGATCTAGCAAAACATGGCATGTAATTTAGTTTTTGGACTGTGACTTGACCATCTTGTTTTGGATTGGCATTACATTAACACCTCAACAAAACAGAATAAAAAACATAACTCCCTGCGTTCTGCAGGAGGATCATATTAATCTATTCTTCCTTATTAGATTAAACCACATGAAATTGCTAATATTCAGCGGTCAGGGGTCCTCAAACTTTTTAAACAGGGGCCAGTTCACTGTCCCTCAGACCTGTTGGAGGGCCGGACTATAGTTTAAAAAAAAACTATGAACAAATTCCTATGCGCACTGTCTATATCTTATTTTGAAGTTAAAAAAACAAACGGGGCAAAAACACCCTGCAGGCCGGATAAATGTCCTCGGCAGGCTGCATGTGGCCTGGGGGCCGTAGTTTGAGGACCCGTGATTCAACCACTCTGACATACAAAAGGTTCAGCTTTGTATGGTTGGACCTAATGCTAACAGTTGTTGTGGTAAATGCAGGTAATTAATATGGACAGTGCTCTGATGGCATGTGACTGGGCAGAGCTTTGCTCTTTGTGCATGTGAGGTGGAACCAACTTGACGACCCCTAGCAACCACCTTTTTTGATTGGTAAATATCTTCTCACGTATTTAGTGAGTCATTTGGGCTGGCCCTATTTTAGGTGGTTTAAAACATATGTCTCTTGAAAAGCAACAACAATGACAACAACAAACAAACAAACAAAGTTTTTGTCAAGCAAGCTCTGTTATAGTGAAGGATTATTACATACCTTTGGAAATTCAATCTTCAGAAAGGTACTTTAGGAATTCAGAATAAAGGTAGCTTATTGGCTTTGACTTTGAGAGTCCTAAGTGAACTTTTAGCAATAACAAGACAGCTCATCTTTAGTTTATGAATACTGTAATAGATGAAGTCTTCTGAATAATTATATATCTTAAGAACATTTTTATGGGAGGAACATTTTTCTCTATGTAAAAACTTCTGTTGGGATTAGAACGATGAAAATAAATGAGTTATCAGAGTTGAATGTCTTTCTAGGACTAAAAGGAAATAAAAGAAGATTCATTTTAATTTACACCTAATCCTTCTGAATTTAGAAATAAATATTATTGTGTGATATCATTTGAAAAAATCTTGCTTTTAGATTAAACTGCTCTTTTATGGTTACATATAAAATGTTTCTTAAGCATAAAAGTATGTTATGACAGTGACTAGTTTTAATGACATCGTATTTCTATTTTGGTAATAGACAAAACCTTCAACTGTAGAAGTTCTGGAAAATATAGATAAGGTATGTTCTTTGTGTGATGTTTTAATTCATTTTAGATAGTAAGTACTATGTTAGTATGTGTTTTAGAGAGATGTTATAGAGTACGTCTGAGAACTTTAATGTAGCATGATAAGAAAATCCAGAGTCTTATCAGTGACTTAAGAAGTCTTTGCCAAGTAATAGAGCCACTTACAATGGAGATATACAACATGGTGTAAATCAATGTTCTAAATAGGATGAAATATAATAAAAGGTGATATGCAGCATTTTTATCAGTCTGCAAAATTTTCATGGCTTTTAAAATACCCTATCATTGAAATACATGGCTTTTTATGTACCCTATCATTGAAATACATGGCTTTTTATGTACCCATCATTGAAACAGTGGCTAGAGCATGGCAGTGGTTGAGAAGCTGGGGTGAGTCTGGGCAGTGTTCTGTTCTGTTAGGATAAGGTGCTGTAAGTTGGAACTGACTCAGGAGCACCTAGCAGCAGCATTAGTAAAAGTGCCTAGTCTAGGAATAGTTACAGCAATGAAAGAAGCAGTCTACCGTACTTTTCATTTTCATTTATCTTTTATTACAACCAGAGTTTTAAATGGTAATATGTAGGGAGACTTATGCATTATTTGACTCAATATTATTTAATGTACTAGTTTCATTCTTTTAATCTTTGCTAATTTGATAGTTAAAAGTGGTATCTTAATTTTGCATTTCAAAAAGTAACTAATCAGAATAGGCATTTCATGTATTTTACTTCATTTTTCAATTTTTAAAAATTTTTTTATTGAATTCAATGAGATCTTTTTATATGAACTTTCTGTGATATTGTGTGTCTTTTGTTACCATTTTAATTTCTCTAGGAAGTTGAGGCTTAATAATACAAAGTAATTGTCTCTTAACAGGAAATTCAAGCCCTAGAAGAATTCAGTGAAAAAAATCAGAGATTACAAAAATTATGGGTTGGAAGATTAATTCTCTACTCCTCAGTTCTCTACCTGTTTACATGTCTAATTGTTTACTTGTGGTATCTTCCTGATGAATTTACAGCAAGATTAACCATGACACTACCATTTTTTGCTTTTCCAGTGATGTAAGTAAATTGTTCTTTTTGTTCAGATAATTTTAGTGTATTAAGTCTTTTTATTTTGCAGTAGTATATACTCAGAAGTTTGAATATATTTGGATTTTTTTTCATAAAGTAGAACCATGGTTTTAAACCTTTATTCATAATAAAAAAAATACCTGTGGAATATAATCCAGTGACATTAGCAGTAATGGTTCTGTATAGCAATATTTTCCTAGGTGGCATTTATTTCATAGGGATGTTGGGCACGCTATAAGCATTTCTGATTGAGGGAGGTAGTGCTAAGTGGGGGAGGGTTTGTAATAACAAGAATGACTGCCCAATTATATTTTGAATATACGGTAGCCTTATCATTCCAACCTTTCTTTTCTTTTTAGTCATTGCTGTTGACTAGCGGTTCTCAGCATGTGGGTCACGACCCCTTTGGGGGTTGAATGACCCTATCACAGGATTCGCTCAATTCATAACAGTAGCAAAATTACAGTTATGAAGTAGCAACAACAATAATTTTATGGTTGGGGGGTCACCACCACATGAGGAACTGTATTAAAGGGTCACGGCTTTAGGAAGGTTGACAATCACTGCTCTAGACCAACAGACTTTTATTATAGATGTATTTTATAATTTAGCACTTTACAGAGGGTACATCATGCTTGAGAACTTTCAGACACAATTGAATAAAAACTTGTTCATTCAGTCAGTAAACGTTTATAGGTAACAAGTTGTTCATACATTGGATTATAATGGTATATGCCCTCAAAATATATTAGATCTCTGACTAGCTATTACTCAGACTGCATGCTTTCAATTAAGAAGTAACCATGAAAAATGTTGTGAAAGAGAACGGCAAAATGTTATGAGAGCATTTAATATGGATCTCTAGTCCAGCCTGGATTGGAGTTAGTTGTAGTGTTCTTTTCCTGCTCTAAAGTTAGTGCCTTAAAGCAACACCCATTTTTATAGTTTTGCGGTTCAGAAGTCCAGGCAGCTCAATTGAGTTCTGTGCTTAGGTTGTCATAAGGTATCTTCTGGTCTGCATTCTGTCTGGGGAGAATTCACTTCCAGTTCATTCAGGTTGCTGGCAGACTTATGCTGCACCTCTCTGATTTCCTCTTTTGTCCCCAGCCAGGAATCAACTTTGGCTTTAAGTCCTCAAATGATTATAACTACCAGGCTAACCTCTATTTTCCATTCAACTGAGTAACAATCTCAATTACAAGAGTAAACTCTGTAACAACCTCTATAATTAGTGTCTTAATGTATAGCTAAACAATGGAAATCTTGGCGAGAATCGCTTTAGAATTCTGCTTACCACAGCCTTCCTGAGATCTAAGATGATGGTTGGACTGAGACCTGAAGGATTTGTATGTGTGTCCAAGGTGGTGGAATATGGTGAGAAGTGTCAAAAGTAGAAAGAATAGCACCCTTTTAGATCATGAGGGGTGATAGAGGATGATGAGTTTAAAGATTGAAAGCAAGCCAAAAGGCCTGGATAATAGAAAAAGAAGGGATGTTCAGTTAAAGGATATTTCCTATGTACCTTGAAGTCCTTGGTTAGGGTTTTTGGCATTATTCTAAGAGTAGTGGGGAGTTGTTAATTTTTAACAACTTTAAAACAAAATCATTTTATTGGGGGCTTATACAACTTATCACAATCCATATCTATCGATTGTGTCAAGCACATTTGTACATTTGTTGCCATCATCATTCTCAAAACATTTTCTTTCTACTTGGGCCCTTGGTATCAGCTCCTCATTTTCCCCCTCCCTCCCCATTCCCCTCTGTCATGAGCCCTTGGTAATTTATAAATTATTTTGTCATGTCTTACACTGTCTGATGTCTCTCTTCACCCACTTCTCCGCTGTCCGTCCCCCAGAGAGGATGTTATATGTAGATCCTTGTAATCGGTTCCCCCTTTCCATCCCGCCCTCTTTCCACCCTCCCAGTATAGCCACTATCACCACTGGTCCTGAAGGGATCATCTGTCCTGGATTCCCTGTGTTTCTATTTCCTATCTGTACCAGTGTACATCCTCCGGTCTAGCTGGATTTGTAAGGTAGAATTGGGATTATGATAGTCGTGGGGAGGAAGCATTTAAGAACTAGAGGAAAGTTGTATGTTTCATCATTGCTACACTGCACCCTAACTGGCTTGTCTCCTCCTCACGGCCTGTCTGTAAGGAGATGTCCAGTTGCCTACATATGGGCTTTGGGTCCCCAATTTTCACTCCCTCTCATTCACAATGATATGATTTTTTGTTCCTTGATGCCTGATACCTGATCCCTTTGACACCTCATGATCACACAGGCTGGTGTGCTTCTTCCATGGGGGCTTTGTTGCTTCTGAGCTAGATTGCCACTTGTTTATGTTCAAGCTTTTAAGACCACACACGCTATTATCTTTTGATAGCCGGGCACCATCAGCTTTCTTTACCACATTTGCTTATGCACCCATTTGTCTTCTGTGATCTTGTTGGGAAGGTGAGCACACAATGATATGATTTTTTGTTATTTGATGCCTGATACATGCTCCCTTTGACACCTTGTGATCACACAGGTTGGTGTGCTTCTTTCACGTTTAACAACTTTTAAGAAAGAGCATGACATATTTGTATTTTGAAAATACCACTTAAGCTACAGCATAGAGAGTAAATTAGAGGAGAATAAAACGGATCTGGTGCAACAAGTTAGGTTATAATTGTCTAAGTGGGAAATGATGGGTTTGAATTTGCGTTTGAGTGATTGTGAAGGGGTTAAGAAGAAAAGGAACTGGTAAAGAATGAAGTAGATTAAAGTGAGCTTTAGTAGGTAGAACTGAGGTACTATGAAAAGGATTTTGGTAATTGGATGTGGAGAGGGAGGAATTGCATACATCAAGGTGAAATTTAAATGTTTGACGTGGAAATTTGGTTGATGGTGGTGTCACTCATCTAAATAGGGAGCAACATGAGGAAAACAGGGGGCTTGGTGTTCCATTGTGACTAAAATATCAGATTGAGCTGCCAGGTAGTTGGTTACATGAGCATTTGATGCTCAGGAAATAAACTTGCATGTGATATATAAATTCAGGATTTGGCACCTTATAAGTATTAATTAAAGTTATCATATGTTGATTCAGTAAATAGTATGTACCTTTCAATGTGTCAGGTATTGTGCCAGATTCTCCAAACCAAAACACCCAACTCATTACCAACGAGTCAATTCTGACTCATGGTGACCTTATAAGGCAGGGTAGAACTGCCCCTGTGGGTTTTTGAGACTAACTCTTTATAGGAGTAGAAAGCTTCTTCTTTTCCCTGGGAAGTGACTGGTAGTTTTGAAGTGTAGACCTCAACAGTTAGAAGCCTTAAGAGTAGTGATAAGGTCTCTGCTTTCACGGAATTTTAATTTACTGGGGTTAGATAAACAAATGGAGATACAAATAAACAAACAAACAGTTAATTTAGAGAGAAGCTTGATGAAGAAATAGAATGATATGCTAGAGAGGAGTAGGCTGGTTTTAGAATGGCATGGGAGACCTCTTGTGTAGGTGGTATTTGAGTTAAGAATGAAAAATATTAGCTAGAAACAGCCTGGAGATAATGGAAGAATGTTTATTTAATGGTGCACAACCCTAAAATACTAATAGTAATTCTATTTGGGTGTTGGAATTTTAAGTAGATATTATTTTGTATAGTCTTTTTTTGGTATTATTTGGGAGCTCTGTTGGTGTAGTTAGAAACTATCAACTGCACCAAAAGAGAAAGAGGAGGCTGTGTACTCCTGTCAAGAGTAAAAGTCGTGGAAACCCACGGGGTGGCTCTCCCCCGTCCTATTGTGTTACCATGAGTCAGAATTGACTCAAATGCAGTGATACTGGTGTTTCATTTTGTATGGCTTGATCTGTTTATTTTTTACATTAATGAGTGTATTCTTCAAAGTCTCAACAGCAACAGTAAAAATCCAAGAGTTTAGGGAAGATCTCCCAAAGAAGAGAAAACAGAAAATGCAAAAGCTGTGAAGTAGGAGAGTGTGTGACTTATTTTAGGGTTAAAAAGAAGATGAGTATAACTAGAATGTATGTTTGAGAAATGGAGTGATTGATTTGAGGTTGGAGAAACAGCAAGGAACCAGCTCACGAATTGTCATGGTTCAGAGTTACAATTTCATTTTGGGTGAAATGGAAAACTTGTAAATGTTGTATTGGAGAATGGCACATGTGGTTTAAGCTGAAAAAAATCATCCTTGCCTGCCATATGGAGATTGGATAAGATGAGGACAGGAGTAGTGGCTGGGAGCTTAGCTTGGATGGTATTGTAGAAGATTTCTCCAAAGATGAAGGTAGGTTGGGCTACCCTTGTATAATGGAGATGAAGGGATGGTATTTGGAAATAGTGGTGGAGATAAAATTGATGCACCTGGATGGGGAGGTAAGGGAAAAGGATGAATCAAGAGTGATATTTAAGTCATTAGTTTGATATTTGGTAGTAGAAGAATCTTTCTCCCTGGAACCATAGCGAAAATCTCTTTCTTTTTTGATTTAGTTTTTTAGTGCAGGAGATGTTTTCAAGTAGAACATTTTCTTTCTTTTTTATTTTTCCTCTTTCCCCTCCCTTCCTCCTCCCCTCTCCCCCATGCACCCCTGATAATTTATAAATTATTATTGTATCTTATATTACACTGCTCGGCGTCTCCCTTCACCCACCCCTCTGCTGCCCGTCCCCCAGAGAGGAGGTTATATGTAGCTCCCTGTGATCAATTCCCCCTTTCTACACCCCCTTTGCCTCCTGGTATTGCCACTGTCACCCCTGGTCCTGAGGGGTTCATCTGTCCTAGATTCCCTGCGTTTCCAATTCCCATCTGTACCGCTGTGCATCATCTGGTCTAACCAGGTCTGCAAGGCAGAATTGGGGTCCTGGTAGTTGGGGGGAGGAAGTGTTTAAGAACTAGAGGAAGGCTGTGGGTTTCATTATTGCTATACTGTAGAACATTTTTACAACTTATTAACTTTTTTCTTTGTTTAAAGAT